ATTGTTCTTGTTATAATAAGGTTAGGTAAGTTTTCTAAGATTCTTTTGGTGCAAAATTAATTTTTTTTACATTATCATTAATGAAAAAAATATATCTTTAAACGTATAAGAGAAAATTTCGGAAAGGACTTAATTTTAAGTGAGTTCTTGCTAATTGACCAGTTTTACATATTCGGCACGACATTATATATATATATATATATATATATATATATATATATATATATATATATATATATATATATTATATATATATATATATAATTTGAGCTTAAATAACAGAAAAAGACACAATACCCTGACTGGAACGACACACAAATAACCCACACATACAAGAGAGAAGCTTACGACGACGTGTCGGTCCGACTTGGACCATTTACAAAGTCCAAGTCGGACCGAAACGTCGTCGTAAGCTCCTCTCTTCTATGTGCGGGTTATTTGCGTATATATCCGAGTCCTGTGCTTGTAACCTGTATGTCCAGCTGCTTCTTGAAACAGTCTTGTGGCTGCAACACAACGCAACAGTTTGCTACCATCTTTTATTCCGTTTGCGAGAAAACGTTGCATATACCTGTGTTGCATCTTCTGCTTTTAATAATAATAATAATAATAATAATAATAATAATAATAATAATAATAATAATAATAATAATAATTATCTTTATTTCTACAGGTACATGATACAACTTACACAGAACATAGCTGACATCAATGACATATTACTATATAGAAAGCCGCTTGTTATGCTGAGCATTTCCAACAAATTAGGTCGGTTATGTCCCGGGATGTGACCCACACCAGTCCACTAACACCCAGGTACCCATTATACTGATGGGTGAACATAGGGAACCAGTATAAAGAAACACGCCCAATGTTTCTGCCCTTGCCGGGAATCGAACCCGGACGCTCGTCGTGTGACTCGAGAGCTTCAGCCATCAAGCCACGAGGCCTGTTTCGTGTTATGGACTCGTTCAACACGCACAGTAATTCCTCATGTCCGAGTGTCGAAACCAGTACATTTCTACAGGGTTATAATGGCATCACGGTGTCTCCATGTCTAAGAAAAATTCAAATCTTGTGTCTTTCTTCATAAGGTTTTGTTCTGAGTGATGGTGAGAATTATGTAACTTTTCTCTGAAATCTCTCTAATATATCTTCCAGATTTTGATAAAGTCGAGGGGTCCCAATTATTTTTCACTGCAGCTCAGTAACGAAAAAATCTTCTGAGTTACATGTACAAAAGACAGGTTTTCATTTGTTTTTTTATTATAGTACCGGAATAAAGTTGCGATTCTTGCATTTTAAAGTAGGATAACACAGAAAAATACGTTCCCCCACTGCGGCAAAAATACGCTTCTTGCTGTGACTAAAATACGTTGCCCTCCCGAAATGTATCAAGGTGGGTGCAAAACACTGATGCAAATCACGAGAGACGAGCTAATCTCAGCATGTCGTTGGTGTTCCAGCTAGAAGAGTACATGAAGCAGAGTACCAGAGCTTCGCTTATATCGGGAAATCTTAAGCAGATTGAAAGGATCAACCCAGAGATATTCCCAGCAACCTGAGTCTTAAGAAAAAAAAACTGCATATATTTGCTGGTGGATAGTCGCTCCTGTCTCCCGTCTTATCCGCCTCGCTGAGACGTAGAGAGAACTTTATGATCTCAAGATTCCTGCCTAACTTTTGAGAAGAAATAGCTGGACTGTCTTCATTGATAATGTTGTAGATTTAGACTTGTCAGAAATGTGTTGAAAGAAGGTAACAAGATTTGAAAACTCTAGTAGATGATGGAAAACACACAGAATGATAACACACAGAATAACGATAATGGTCCAATGTAGCAGAAATTCATACGAAGATAAGCTGTAGACGCTGTATCTGCACTCTTTAGACAGGTCTAAAATGTGGAGAATACGAATGAAGTCGACAAACGGAAACCCGGAGCATATGAAGGCGAATAATTAATGAGATGAAAACAGACAACCAAAACAGAATTTTTTGCAACAAATTCCAATTGGTCCAATTCAGATATAGACGGAATATCAAAAAAAAAAATAAAAAAACTGGAGGTAACTCCCAAGAATCGCAAATGATGAGAAAACTTTAGAGTTCCATGTGAGAGGGTACGGTTGTGAGTTAGACCTACCTAGCCTGAGCCTTAAGGCCTACTGCACTGCTCACATTTTCTTACGTTCCTTTCGTCACATTTTAATAAATCCTCATCTGGTGGCCTGGTGGTTAACGCTCTCGCTTCACACGGTGAGGGCCTGGGTTCGATTCCCAGCCAGAGTAGAAACATTGGACGTGTTTCTTTCCACCTGTTGTCTATGTTCCCCATCAGTAAAATGGGTACCTGGGTGTTAGTCGACTGGTGTGGGTCGCATCCTGGGACACTGACCTAAGGAGGCCTGGTCACAGACCGGGCCGCGGGGGCGTTGACCCCCGGAACTCTCTCCAGAAACTCTCCAGATCCCATCGTCACGTCTGTTATATTTCTCACAAATGAAAATAGATTCTAAGAATCTCAGAGTAAAATTTACTGTTATTATTTACTTCAAACATAAACTTATGTACACTACCTCAGAGACTTGAAAAAAAAGTTTGCTTCAGGGGCGAAACGTTGTCTTGAGGTTTCCACTGCTGTTTGTGTTTTGATCAACAGTTTCAGTCAGATATATAAACACACCGTCTCAGAGACAGACTTATACACATCTCAGTTCCAGCCAGATATATAAACACACAGGATGAAGATTGAGACACTTATGCAACATATGGGAATCTTTATTGAGGAAACGTTTCGCCACACAGTGGTTTCATCAGACCAATACAAATCAGAAGTGTGTAAGGAGAGGAGTAGTTTGAGGTAATCAGTCCCTCAGCCTGGAGTTGATATGTTGAGTCCATCAATCTTGTAGAATGTACAGCATAGGGCTGTAGACGTGGCTTATATACTGTAGTCAGGTGAGGTGAAGCAGGAGGAGGCGGGGGTCATAGTGGTACTATCCACTAGTCGAAGTAGGTCTTCGTCCTAAGGTAGGAAAAGTGTTGAAGAATTCTTTGTATCAAGATCTCATGAATCCTTGAATTCTTCAACCTTGTCCAACCATTGGACGAAGATCTACTTCGACTAGTGGATAGTACGACTATGACCCCACCTCCTCCTGCTTCGCCTCACCTGACTACAGTATATAAGCCACGTCTACAGCCCTATGCTGTACATTCTACAAGATTGATGGACTCAACATATCAACTCCAGGCTGAGGAACTGACTACCTCAAACTCCTCCTCTCCTTACACCTTTCTGCTTTGTATTGGACTGATGAAGTCACTATGTGGCGAAACGTTTCCTAAATAAAGATTCCCATATGTTGCACAAGTGTCTCAGTATTCAACTTGTCGCTTTTTTAAACCATTTATAACACACAAACACACAGAATGATGAAAATGAATTACCAAATGAATGTTTAATTTCAATATTACAAAGTCTAACATTAACTATCACAAGGGATATCTTATATTCATCGTCAAAAAAAAAAAAAAATATGCATATACACCTCAAAAGACCATATATAGACTATCAGGGAGTCAAATATATATAGACTATTTCACAGACTGACATATATATATATATGCTAACTCAGACAAATCTATATACACTGTCTCAGTAACGAGGATATATACACTATCTCAGTAACAAAGGTATATACACTCAGTAACAAGGATATGTACACTATCTCTGTGGCAAACATATATACACACTGTCTCATAATTAATCATGTATTTACTTTCTCTCGGAGAAACCACTTCACATAGACTCTCTGTTGCGAACATAAAGGCACGATCTTACAGGCAAATGTTCATACCTAGTAGCGACCAGTGAAGAGGCGGGGCCAGGAGCTTGGACTCGACCCCTGCAACCTCAACTAGGTGAGTACACTAGTAGTAAGAAAACGTTAATGGAAATAAATGGTATAAAATACCGACACAATGGCAATATAAACACAAATGCAGTATAATGTGATCCTTTATTGACTACGTTTCGCCCACACAGTGGGCTTTTTCAAGTCACAAACAGAACTACCTGGGGTGGAAGGAACGCGAGTATTTATAGTCCGGCTGAGGTCAGGTGAAGAATGCTGCATCTGATGATGTATCGAGTTGGGTTGTAGAGTCTAAAAACTTGGGTAGCTTGGAAAGGAGACTGGACAAGTTTGTGAGCAGACCTTCTACAGTGTTCTTATGTGGGATAGCGATGAAGAAGTTTCTTGGCAAGTGGTTCTGCTATGTTATAGAAGCCACTATTCTGGTTGAAGTTGTCGGATATAGAAATAAGTGATGATTCCAGGATTCTTCAATACCGAAGAATCCTGGAATCATCACTTATTTCTATATCCGACAACTTCAACCAGAATAGTGGCTTCTATAACATAGCAGAACCACTTGCCAAGAAACTTCTTCATCGCTATCCCACATAAGAACACTGTAGAAGGTCTGCTCACAAACTTGTCCAGTCTCCTTTCCAAGCTACCCAAGTTTTTAGACTCTACAACCCAACTCGATACATCATCAGATGCAGCATTCTTCACCTGACCTCAGCCGGACTATAAATACTCGCGTTCCTTCCACCCCAGGTAGTTCTGTTTGTGACTTGAAAAAGCCCACTGTGTGGGCGAAACGTAGTCAATAAAGGATCACATTATACTGCATTTGTGTTTATATTGCCAAGAAAACGTTAATCATCATTCTTGCAAACATGAGGGTTATAAGGTGCGCAGCCTGCTCCTCTACACCTTATTAATGGCTTCTTATACACTCTCGTTCGTCAAGACTAAACCCTTTTTTCATCACCATTTTTCCCGTACTCATTTACCAGAAGCCTATCATCCCCATTTTCTCTCTTCCTTATTTCTGTCTCCTCTTATCCCGTTTGTACGCACACAGCCACTTGCTCCATATACGCATTTTCTTCCATATAAATGCACCACACTGGCAATACTTACCATTGACAACGTGAACGATAACAGAATCCGGGCGTGAGTACGTGGGAGCACAGGTGTAGTTACCAGAGTCGGCTTTCTCCGCTCGTGTGATGTGAAGTCTGGACATCGTCTTAGTGGGAGTTTTCTCCACCTGTGCATGGGAGAATAAAAGGGTGCGTAACAGGCTGGGGACGTATAAAGATGTAACTGACATCAGTGATATACTGTATAGAAAGCCAAACCATACCACGGGTGGGGGTTTGAACCTGCGATCAGAGATCGCGGGTTTAAACCCCACCCGTGGTATGGTTTGTTAGCAATCGTGTCATTACGATTTAGTGAGTCACATAGAAAGCCCTTTGTTATACAGAGCATCTCCTGAAAATTAGGCTAATATTGTCCCCAGGACGCGACCCACACCAGCCGACTGACACTCGGGTACCTGTTTACTGCTAAGTAAACAGGGACAGCAGGTTTCTCAACAAAACGCGCCCTAATAGGTTCATACCGGGGATCGAACCACAGACCTCAGTGTGTAAGCCGAGTCCGCTAGCAACCGAGCTACGGAAAAGGGATGGTAGTAGGTAGTGGGAGAACAGAACAAAGTGTAAGATGCCGGAGATGTTAGTGAGCGGACGAGGAAGACAGAATAGATGAAAATAAATAGGCAGTAAAGGGATAGAGCAGGTTTTGATGCCTATTTAGGAACAAGGTGACGACTCAAACACAAGAAAACAGGAGATAAATTTTTAAATATATACTCTAGACTAATTTAAAACTGCTCCCGTGGCTTGGTGTCCGTGGTTCGATCCCCGATACAGGTGGAAACAGGGGGTGTTTCCTTAAGACACCTGCTGGCCCTGTGCACCTAGCAGTAAGTAGGTACCTGGGTGTTAGTCGACTGGTGTGGGTCGCATCCTGAGAGACAAGATTAACCTAAGTTTCTTAAAATGCTCCACACGCAAAGTTTTTTATAGAGAATGTCATGGGTGTCAGCTATGGTCTGTATAAGTTGCATCATGTAGAAATAAAAGTTATTATCACATTATATTTCCTGCTGTGAAATTATCAAAAACATAAACAAAACGTGATAACAATGAAAAGCACAAGACAAGAATCATATTTCTTTGAAAAAACTAGAAGAGGAAAAGTTAGAAGCTGGAAGATAAACTAGTAAAATCAGTCAACCAATTACTAAGCATTGAGAAAAAGACGTGAATTCCCAATTGAACTGCTGAAGACAGGACAAGAAAAAATTGAAATGGTACACAACTGTATAGAAACCAAGTCCATAATGGCAATATCTGAGGTACAGAAGAAAGTGAGGCCATGTCTTATGTACGGTGTCATCATCATCATCATCATCATCACCATCATCACCATCATCACCATCACCATCATCACCATCACCATCACCATTATCATCATCATCATCACCATCATCACCATCATCACCATCATCATCATCATCACCATCACCATCAACATCATCACCATCGTCATCGTCATCATCACCATCACCATCGTCATCATCATCATCATCATCATCACCATCACCATCGTCATCATCATCATCATCACCATCACCATCACCATCACCATCATCATCATCATCATCATCATCACCATCATCATCATCATCATCATCATCATCATCAAACACTATTATCATTAAACAAAAGCTAAAAGGAATAATAGCACTAACCTCAAAAACAAAAGCATTTAGTAGAGGAAAAACAGATGTAACAGTGACTATAAAACATTAACAGAGAAGGTGGGAGTTAAACTGCAGTGGTGGTTGTTGCTGCAGTGGTGGTTGTTGCTGCAGTGGTGGTTGTTGCTGCAGTGGTGGTTGTTGCTGCAGTGGTGGTTGTTGCTGCAGTGGTGGTTGTTGCTGCAGTGGTGGTTGTTGTTGCAGTGGTGGTTGTTGCTGCAGTGGTGGTTGTTGCTGCAGTGGTGGTTGTTGTTGCAGTGGTGGTTGTTGCTGCAGTGGTGGTTGTTGCTGCAGTGGTGGTTGTTGCTGCAGTGGTGGTTGTTGTTGCAGTGGTGGTTGTTGCTGCAGTGGTGGTTGTTGCTACAGTGGTGGTTGTTGCTACAGTGGTGGTTGTTGCTGCAGTGGTGGTTGCTGCAGTGGTGGTTGTTGCTGCAGTGGTGGTTGTTGCTGCAGTGGTGGTTGTTGCTACAGTGGTGGTTGTTGCTACAGTGGTGGTTGTTGCTGCAGTGGTGGTTGTTGCTGCAGTGGTGGTTGTTGTTGCAGTGGTGGTTGTTGCTGCAGTGGTGGTTGTTGCTGCAGTGGTGGTTGTTGCTGCAGTGGTGGTTGCTGCAGTGGTGGTTGTTGCTGCAGTGGTGGTTGTTGCTGCAGTGGTGGTTGTTGCTGCAGTGGTGGTTGTTGCTACAGTGGTGGTTGTTGCTGCAGTGGTGGTTGTTGCTGCAGTGGTGGTTGTTGCTGCAGTGGTGGTTGTTGCTGCAGTGGTGGTTGTTGCTGCAGTGGTGGTTGCTGCAGTGGTTGTTGCTGCAGTGGTGGTTGTTGCTGCAGTGGTGGTTGTTGCTGCAGTGGTGGTTGTTGCTACAGTGGTGGTTGTTGCTGCAGTGGTGGTTGTTGCTGCATGTGGTGGTTGTGTTGGGCAGTGGTGGTTGTTGCTGCAGTGGTGGTTGTTGCTGCAGTGGTGGTTGTTGCTGCAGTGGTGGTTGCTGCAGTGGTGGTTGTTGCTGCAGTGGTGGTTGTTGCTGCAGTGGTGGTTGTTGCTGCAGTGGTGGTTGTTGCTGCAGTGGTGGTTGTTGCTGCATGTGGCGTGGTTTGTTGGCTTTTCAGTGTGGTTTGTTGCTGCAGTGGTGGTTGTTGCTGACAGTGGTGGTTGTTGCTGCAGTGGTGGTTGTTGCTGCAGTGTGGTTGTTGCTGCAGTGGTGGTTGTTGCTCAGTGGTGGTTGTTGCTGCAGTGGTGGTTGTTGCTGCAGTGGTGCGTGGTTGTTGCTGCAGTGGTGGTTGTTGCTGCAGTGGTGGTTGTTGCTGCAGTGGTGGTTGTTGCTACAGTGGTGGTTGTTGCTGCAGTGGTGGTTGTTGCTGCAGTGGTGGTTGTTGCTGCAGTGGTGGTTGTTGCTGCAGTGGTGGTTGTTGCTGCAGTGGTGGTTGTTGCTGCAGTGGTTTGGGTTTCTACAGTGGTGGTTGCTGCAGTGGTGGTTGTTGCTGCAGTGGTGGTTGTTGCTGCAGTGGTGGTTGTTGCTGCAGTGGTGGTTGTTGCTGCAGTGGTGGTTGTTGCTGCAGTGTTGGTTTGTTGCTGCAGTGGTGGTTGTGCTGCAGTGGTGGTTGTTGCTGCAGTGGTGGTTGTTGCTGCAGTGGTGGTTGTTGCTGCAGTGGTGGTTGTTGCTGCAGTGTGGTTGTTGCTGCAGTGGTGGTTGTTGCTGCAGTGGTGGTTGTTGCTGCAGTGGTGGTTGTTGCTGCAGTGGTGGTTGTTGCTGCAGTGGTGGTTGCTGCTGCAGTTGTTGTTGCTGCAGTGTGGTTGTTGCTGCAGTGGTGGTTGTTGCTGCAAGGTTTGCTGCAGGGTGGTTGTTGCTGCAGTGGTGGTTGCTAGTGGTGGTTGTTGCTGCAGTGGTGGTTGCTGCTACAGTGGTGGTTGTTGCTGCAGTGGTGGTTGTTGCTGCAGTGGTGGTTGTTGCTGCAGTGGTGGTTGTTGCTGCAGTGGTGGTTGTGCTACAGTGGTGGTTGTTCTGCATGGTGTGTGTGTTGTTGCTGCATTGGTTGTGGGGTGGTTGTTGCTGCAGTGGTGGTTGTTGTGCAGTGGTGGTTGTTGCTGCAGTGGTGGTTGTTGCTACAGTGGTGGTGGTTGTTGCTGGGAGTGGTGGTTGCTGCTGCAGTGGTGGTTGTTGCTGCAGTGGTGGTTGTTGCTGCAGTGGTGGTTGTTGCTGCAGTGGTGGTTGTTGCTGCAGTGGTGGTTGTTGCTGCAGTGGTGGTTGTTGCTGCAGTGGTGGTTGTTGCTGCAGTGGTGGTTGTTGCTGCAGGTGGTTGGGTGTTCTAGTGTTTTGCTACAGTGGTGTGTTGCTGCAGTGGTGGTTGTTGCTGCAGTGGTGGTTGTTGCTGCAGTGGTGGTGTGCTTCAGTGGTTTTTGCTGCAGTGGTGGTTGTTGCTCAGTGGTGGTTGTTGCTGCAGTGTGTGGTTGTTGCTGCAGTGGTGGTTCTGCAGTGGTGGTTGTTGCTGCATGGTGGTTGTTCTCAGCTGTGGTTGTGCTGAGTGTGTTGTTGCTACAGTGGTGGTTGTTGCTGCAGTGTGGTGAGTGTGGTTTTGCTGCAGTGGTGGTTGTTGCTGCAAGTGGTGGTTGTTGCTTCAGTGGTGGTTGCTTGCTGCAGATGGTGGTGGCTGCAGTGTGGTGTTGCGTGTGTGCAGTGGTGGTTGTTGCTGCAATGGTGGTTGTTGCTGCAGTGGTGGTGTTGTGCAGTGGTGGTTGTTGCTGCAGTGGTGGTTGTTGCTGCAGTGGTGGTTGCTGCTGCAGTGGTGGTTGTTGCTGCAGTGGTGGTTGCTGCTGCAGTGGTGGTTGTTGCTACAGTGGTGGTTGTTGCTGCAGTGGTGGTTGTTGCTGCAGTGGTGGTTGTTGCTGCAGTGGTGGTTGTTGCTGCAGTGGTGGTTGTTGCTGCAGTGGTGGTTGCTGCTGCAGGGGTGTTGTCTGGTGGTCTGTTGCTAAGTGGTGGTTGTTGCTCAGGTCGAGTGGTGGTGTTGCTGCAGTGGTGGTTGTTGCTGAGTGGTGGTGTTGCTGCAGTGGTGGTTGTTGCTGCAGTGGTGGTTGCTGCTGCAGTGGTGGTGTTGCTCAGTGGTTGGTGTCTGCGGTTGCAGTGGTGGTTGTTGCTGCAGTGGTGGTTGGTGCTGCAGTGGTGGTTGTTGCTGCAGTTGTGGTTGTTTCTACAGTGGTGGTTGCTGCTGCAGTGGTTGTTGCTACAGTGGTGGTTGTTGCTGCACTCGTGGTTGCTGCTGCAGTGGTGGTTTTGTCTGTCTGCAGTGGTGGTTGTTGCTACAGTGGTGGTTGTTGCTGCAGTGGTGGTTGCTGCTGCAGTGGTGGTTGTTGCTGCAGTGGTGGTTGTTGCTGCAGTGGTGGTTGCTGCTGCAATGGTGGTTGTTGCTACAGTGGTGGTTGCTGTTGCAGTGGTGGTTGTTGCTGCAGTGGT